TGTGGACACATTCGGTACTCAGCACCACGAGGCATTCTGAAAGTCTGATTGGTCTTTTAATACCTTGCTTCTAATACCTTCTGTAGGCCATCAGCTGGATCTCACCACTCAGCAATTCCTTTCAGACACGAAACCCAAAAAGCAACTGCGACCTTCTCAAACTCTTTGGGGGTAAAAATGATGCTCAGAGTTCCAAAGGAGATCAGACAGATCAGAAACTGTAAGGAGTTCTGGCAAAGCAGTGATGAGACCTTCCAAAATGCCTTTTATCTTGGAAAGGCAAGAATCAAAAGAGAAGAGCATCTGACAGGGCTCTTTTAGTCCTGGAATTCAAATAGAAAGTGCAGGTTCCAAAAGGCCCCATAAATACATTGGAAGTTGGAAGTAATTGGCTCTCCTGTGAACCAGGAAAGAGGAGCAATAAAAATCCTACACCAAAACCATCAGGAATGACAGGCAGCTGGTAAGCTCCAGATAGAAACTACGTGCATTTTATCAACCAAGAACAAGTAAGACACAATCCCTAAGTAACCCAGAAGTAAAGAGCAGACCCTTTGGGCTGCTTTATAAAGAAACAGATGTCTCAGATATATTTAACATGCAAAAGAAATAAAGACAAGAATACTTTAAGAATCTACCTCAGCCTCTCCCAGAAATAAAAGGCAAATTCCTGGACTTGGACTCCACAAAATAAGGAGGAATAAAACTAAGTAAAACAGAGTTTTGCAGCTGAATTTTACTGGGTTCTAAAGCGAATCTGAGCTCTTACGGTAGTGTAAATCAAACATGATAATGTAAGAAGGAAATAAGCCATCTGCTTGGAAAAGAAACACAGGCAACTGCAATAGGTGGAAAAACTGGATCCATTACATAGGCTTACTTCATTAACATGGTATTGGAACGAATATATTAGCAGATTGATTAGATGTGAACTGCTGAAATACATACCCAGATCAATGAATGCTCAGTAGAAGCAAGCAAACTGCAGACAAATATGAGAGGTCCCTCCTGTGCTGGGGCCCCAAGCTGGATGCAGGACTTGCATAGAACATAGAATGCAGAATTAGGGGGAAAGAAGCCTCAAAACCATAGCTGACAAGCAGCGACAGGCAGGAGTGCCTACCTGCAGGTTTTAGAGCAGCTGCTTGCCCCAACCATAGGGCTTCTGGCCACAATAATCATGCTGGAGCTTCAACCAGCAGGAACACAAGGATGGAGCAAAGCACAGTGCTTTAAATCAAACATATCCTGAGTAAGTTTAGCCAAACAGGAGTCACAAAAGGTGCATGTCTGCACCTCTCTGTAAATTAATTTAGATTAGAAAAAGAAAGGTAATATTTAAGTATACTGAGATCCCATTTCAGCTTTAGACACTGGTGTAATGGAATGGCCATTTGTGACAGAAGACAACAAAAGCCTCATCAAAATGCTACTGCAGTCATAATGTGTCCTCGAGGCACTACTGAAAAAGGCCTCGAGTGCCTTTGGGCCACAAGAGAGTTTCTGTTAAGACAAGAGATTAACTACATGCATGAGTACCCATGCACAGAGTTGTACCACATGCAGTGGGCTGCTACTAAGTCCTATGAGTTGGGAAACTACACACACACACACACACACACAGAGAGACACACAGAATTAACCACAGGAGATGACCCCACCTCATGCTGCAGTACAAGTGCCTGTATTTTAACTGGCATTCCTGCATGTAACTGTACATCTAAGTGGTATTCTTCTTTGATAAATACTGTGTGTGCTCCTGAACCACAACAGCATTAAGAGCAGCAAAGGAAAAGCACCCACCACATCAGAGTCAAAACAAATGGTAACCACAGCTCTTCAGAGGAGCTGCTCAGCACTTGCTGAAGCAGGAATAATAAGAAGGCATTTTCCTGTTACTGCTACCAGGGCTCTTTTAATCATGGAGAATTATCAAAACCACAACACCTAGGGATTGTTCATCTGACTTGGCTGACCCCGTTACTAACTGCACTACTGCAAATGAAAGGCACTGCCAAGAACACTCATTTCAAACCCAAGGTGCTCACTTGGATCCCCCCATAAAAGCCCTGCAATACCGTCAGCCCAGCAATGCAAGGCAAAATGACCAGAGTGTAGGAAATGAAGATGCAGACATGGGAATTTCATCCAAACCCACATACACTAGAGACACCCAAGTGGGCTCACACCCACCTACAGAACTTACAGTCATTCCACAGAAGGTGGATCAACAGCAGACCTGAAACCTCCAACACGTTATATTCACAACACAGAACTCAAGATCTTTAGTTTGTTCCCAGTTCCCAGGGATGGGAAAAGCCCCATGTACAAGGGTTGTTCTGGCCTCGTCTGCCTTGGCTGTTGGGGCACTCTACCCTCCAGATCACACTTCCCCATGGAGAAACAGCTTCTGGGGCAAATCAGAGCACCAAAACCATCAGGAAGCTTCATTTCCAACTTCTGACTGGCAATCTAAGTCATGCTAATAATGAAAATAGTGTTTAAAAGTCAATAAATACCCCATCTTTTTGAAGCACCCACCAATACAACCCACCCCAAATCCTATCAGTGACAGAGGTGGCCTGAAGGTAGCACTCGCTGTGTGAAAAAGTTCTAGAGAAGAGACCCTTGGATCTGCTACACACATGCCTTTATTCCAGGGGGTGGGAGGATTCCTCAGGATCCGCTCCTTTGCATACCAAGAGAGCAGGAAGGAACAGAGGATGAAGAGAAAAGGAGCCCTGAGGTTTAGGAAATGAGGAAGATGAGGTGTATCAATGCTGGGTTGTTTAGACCAGTACAGGACTCTGTCACTGCCAGTGACAGGGTCACAAACTCCTGCTGCATATGGTTAGAGAAGTAGTCTCCTTTTATATCAACTTTTAAAGCATCAAATTTGCAGCTCTCCACAACTGCAAAGCAATAAAGCAGCAAATTTCAGGCTTAGACTTCTGCATGCTACAGACATGGAAGAGTTACTCGTTTGCTTTTCCTTACTAAAGAAATACAGAATTAAATGTATTTATGTATAAAATCTAGGCAGCAGTGCACCCATCTAATGTCACGTTAGAGTTTGATAGATTGACACTAATCTGAAATATCATTTTTCAATGGAGAGAGTTTTCCATTTACACACTATTAATATAACAAACCTCATCTCCTTTCTTTATTCCCCCTTCTCTCCCCTGAAGAACACCAGACAGAACCTCTCACTGAAGCACCTGATTTCAAAGGCAGACTTGTAATAATTTAACATACAGGATAGTCATTAGGCACTAGAGAAAAGCTCTTCCATTAAACACTGTCACAGTCTTTCTCAAGACGCTCCATCTCTGTTTTGCTCCAAGACAGACGTGCAGCCACATCAAATCTCATTTCAGAACTAACATTCTTCATTCACAAAAAACAGAAACACGTCTTTGCAAAGCTCTGCAAGTACAAGATCCTTCAAACTGCATTGGGAGCTAAGCCAGAAGGAATACTGGGGACTGATAACAGAATAGCTGACAAAGACAGAGCTCTGTACAGAAACCACTCTTTCAGATGACTTGGTTCTGCACTTCGCAAAGGCGGTATCACCAAAAGACTTGTGCTTTCCTGGGCTTTAAACTGCGCATGTGATACTTTACAGTGCACGGGATACCGACTCACAAGAGGACAGAGCCATCTGCTCCTGGGTCTGCCCCAAACCTGTGCTTCATGCAGGTACCTCCCTCAGATTAACCACTCCTGCAACAAAACACTGAGGAGCTCAGAAGGAAAGGAAATCTCCTTCGCAAGAGCTGTGAATGACAACCACGACCTCAGGCTCTTTGCAAAACAGACACTTCCCCACTGCAGCAGGTACACACCAAGTACAGTAACTAATGCAAGGGAGTCAACACCCGCATGCACTGCTTGAACCTTCTGTGACAAGGATCTCCAGGATCAACCAGCACAAACAGGGCCTCTCACCAGACACCAGATTAACATTAACGAGCTCTAAGGGACCCCAGCGCTGCCACTGGGCAACCTCAGGACAAACTGAGGGCAACCTCCCCTTCCCCACATAAAAGATAGGAAGATATTAAAAGTGAGGAGGGAAATTCTGGCACTGTGAAAAACACATATTAACTTGTTTCAACATGGGAAACCAGCCCCTCTGCTCTACAGCGTTTATCACTGCTGCATCCCTGCACCTCTACTCGTGCTTCCCCATGCAATGTACGTTCACACTATTGACACAGATGCACAGGCACAAATAAACGCTGTATCCCAAAATACTCAGAATGTGCTGCCAGATGGCTTCAAAAAGAGAAATGAAAGAGCTAATTAAAAGCTCTTACGCTGCCAGCACTCCACTTTGGGAAACAAATACAAGAGTTAAATGAAAATGTTTCTAAAGCATCTCAGGATTTCTGCACTGCTTCACTATTACAACCTCTCCTAACCTCCTCCATGGATCAACCAGGCCAAGCCATAGGAACCAGGGCTGACTGTAAAGTCCTTTTCTGGGGTGGTAGAAAGAGGAAACTAACAGAAATGGTGACTAAACTTGGGCAATTTCTCCTTAATTCCATCTCTCCACATTCCTCTCTCTCCTTCCTGTTTAAAAATGTAAAACTATTTGCTGCTGCTATCACAAGTATTGCCTATGAGGAAGGTTTCACTGCCACAAGCCACCACAGTCACTGCAGAGGGAAAAAAAAGGTTTCTTTTTCATTTCCATAACTGAAATATGAGCCTCGATGTCAGTTTACTGCAGGATTATGTAGAACTATGATTTGCTTTACCTCCATCTTATCTCCCCAGTAAAACAGGTTATGGTTTCCATACAGTTTAACAGACATCTGTTTTTAAATAATGAATCACAGGACAATATTCAAATTACCTGTGATGATGTTTGAGTCTACAAGATCAACAACTGAGTATGTAGCCATTACAAAGACCAAACCACACACGAAAGGAACCTTCCAAACCCATAAATGGCACACATGCAGAAGGAGGTGACATTTACTTACCACTGGACCTGTTTTTGCGGTTTGACTTCCCTCCAGTAAGCAGCATCTTGAGACTGTTTCGAAACATGGCGATCCTGTTCCACTGCGTGTAACCCAAACACTGCGTGAAGCAAAAGAACAAGGGGTGTAAGAGAGCAACGCTCCAACTTAGGAAACATCACTGGGATGAGAGAAAGAAAGTGCTAAAAGAGATAAAACATCAGAATGATGACAAACTATTCTGCTAATGCATTTTGTAACCATAGAAATCAACATCCATGCAGAGTCTTCCATTCCATTTGCTTCTGTTCATCCAGGCCATTGCCAGGATGATTTCAGCTCTGTTAGCAGGACCTGCATCTTCTGACCAATGGTTTTATTATCCCATTAAAGTGGGAAAGACACAGCATTTAGCAAACTGCCTCCACTGTCCATTACTATTAAAACCAAACCTATCAGAATGGGTTGCACCCTCCTCATTGCTCAGAAGTCAATCTTGCCAACAGGTAGTGATGGGACAAGGGAGATGAGATGAGCTCTTAGGCAGAAGCTCTTCCCTGGGAGGGTGCTGAGGCGCTGGCACAGGGTGCCCAGAGAAGCTGTGGCTGCCCCATCCCTGGCAGTGTTCAAGGCCAGGTTGGACACAGGGGCTTGGAGCATCCTGCTCTATGGAAGGTGTCCCTGCCCGTGGCAGGGATTGGAGCTGGAGGAGCTTTAAGGCCCCTTTAAACCCAATCCAGTCTGGGATTCTGTGATTTCTATGACAAGACCCCACAGACTAGAGAACCCGCTGTCTTTAGCTCCTGGGCTAGCTGACTGTGAAAGTCTTCTCTGAGCTGAATAAATTGCCATGAGGAGGAGAAGCCACTCAAACCCAGAGTTAACTGGTGCAGAAAATAAATCAAACAAACATTATCCATGTATTTTCCTTGCTCTGTATGTCCTGGGAAAGAAAAAGCATGGTTGTGTCTCTGCTGTTGAAGATAAAAGACTGAACTGCTGGTTCACCAGACACACTGACAGCCTCTGCTGGTGGAACATCCTCTTATTAGAGTAGGTTAAGAATCAAACAGAAAGAACAAAAGCAGCTCCTAACCAGACCAAAAGAATAGTAACAACCCTTTGATCAGGACATGCAACAAACCACAAGTTTCCTTCCATTGTACACACAATAGTCCAGAGTTGCAAGGTAACACATTCATGTTACAGAAACACATTAGGATTTTCTTCCTGCACCATTAGGGTCTTCTTGGAGGATGCTCAGTAAATACAATCTTGAATTTCTTCACATTTCTCTAATATTCTGAACTATACCAACACAGCAATACCCAGTTCAAAGGAGCTTTATATGCACATTTAAAGCCACTGAAAGTCCTTTTAATATGACTTAGAGAGATACCAACATTCCAAGCAGCAGCTTAGAGCACAGATGTACAAACACCACTAAGTGTGCACAGTGACATGAACTTCAGCCTCTCCTGCCTCTCAGCAGTTAGCATTCACTTGTTAGATTCCTCAAACAGCTTTTGGGGTATGTTTGTCTACACACATGAATGTACGAATGCAGTATCAAACAGAAAACACAGTACAGCACCAGTGTTTCCTTTCCATCTATGCATCACTTGAGTATCATCCAGCCCTTGTGCAATGACTTCAAAGCACCACCAGCCAGTATTTCGGCTTATTCCCAGGGCTCCTAAACACAGTTCAGGCCCTTCTTCGAAGCAACCTACTGTTACATGACTACAAAACAGATTTCCATCTGGGCACAAACACAATTGTCTTCAATTTCAATTCTGTTTATTTAATTCCTTTAGACGGCTGTTATGTTCCAGCTCACAACATAGAAAGAAAACTTGAGGGTTTGCATATCCTTCCTCTCCCACAGTCTGTTATTAATAAACTACTTCACACACAACACCCTTTGCAACCTCCGAAGAAGAAATATGAAGTAGACCTTACAAGTAAAGAGGAGGCAACAGAACTCAAAGTGTTATTTCCTTGAAACATGATAATATTATAATCCCCCCAACATCCCACTAATCCAAGTGTATTTATCTAGGCTTTGAGCAAGACAACAAGCAGGCAGTAAACAACTCCTGCTTCTATCTGGAGAGCTGCCTGAATCTGAACGTGACTCTTCCTCCTCTTCAGTACTGAGCATTACACTGATAACATCCTGCGTACACCTGACTGAGGGATTTACTTAAGAAAAAGCAGACTCAAGTGGCTCTTCATAAAATCCCAGGCTGGTTCAGGTTAAAGGGACCTTAAAGCTCACCCAGTTCCAACCTCCTGGCTGGAACTGGAATACTCTCCAGGTATCCATCTGGAGTTCCATCCAAGACTGGAAGGACAATCAACCACAATGAAATCTTCCTCAGAATCAAACTCTTATGGTAGCAGTGGACAGCCCAGAACCTCAAAGTTCCCATGAATTAAGCAAGGAGGTTTAAGGACTATCCCCACACCAGCTTGCACTGACAAGAGGACAGTGTGGAGCCGTGCCATCAGTGCTCAGGTATAACCTAATTAAACCTAATGCTGAAGAAGCCAACTGCACTGAGCCTGAACAGTACCACAGGTGAGGACAAGAGTTTGCTAATGATGTTCACCTCTAGCTTTCTCATGGCAAACTGCTCCAGAAAGTGCTGTGCTGCTACTGGGATTAAGTCTCTGCATAGGGCATATCCAGGGCATCCAGGAATTTGCTCCAAAGAACCACAAGTAGAGAATAAATTGATGCCTTGCATTCAGAGCCTGAGTTACGAGCCCTGGGATGTCTCAAGGACTAATGCGTATTTGCAGAGCTCACCTGGAAGCCTCAGAGGATGGTTAGAGCTTTAGTGACCTGCACCAGCGGGAGATGGAAAGAAAGGCCTTTTAGTAATAAGCCTAATTTAGCCTCAGCTCCTGACGTGGTTTCTCATTGCACCTTCCAGACAAGGTTGTAGTACTCTAAGCATAAGCGCTCACTAAATTTATACCCTGCTTAGTTAAGGTTTTCACTAAAGAGAGTGGCAGAAGCAGCAGGTCACCAAAAGCAACTGTTCTTTTCCTTTCGCATGCACCACCACAGTGTCCTGTCATTTGGTCACAGCTCCTCCTCTGTTTAGCTACTGCTCAGCCAGAAATAATGTTTAAGAATAATTAAAGATTCTGTTGGTCGTATCAGTTCATGGAATTAGAAGGATTAAATGGCAAATGGCATTATACTATTAGGAGGAGCTGGATCAGGCTTTTTTCATACCCCCAGTGAACTCCAGGTTAATTCTCTCCTCCAGCCTCACAAGCAGCTGTGTCAGCAGAAGCCGAAGGTGCAGGGTGCCGATGGGGATCCTTCACACTCCTATCGCTATGCTCTGCTTCCAGCAGCAAACTGGGCAACCAAGAGCTACCAGACTTGGTTATTTAGCTTGCTATCTGTAACTTTACCAAATCTAATGAAGACATTATGCAAGCAAAGGTCTCCAAACAGTATCAATAGGTAGGTAAAAGGTACTACCTCTATGAACTCTGCTTTAGAGCATCAACGGCACTTCACCAAAGTAGCCTGTTTTAATAAACAGCTCAGGAATCTCCTGGTTTATGTACAGACAGACTCTGCCACATGTTTTATCTTCTAACAAAGGTAGGTTTCAATGCAACGCACACACAAAAACAGTCTCTGGAGCAGGAGAAAGCAGTAGTACCAATGTAATGAGAGAAATCAAGAGACAGACTGAATGCTGCAGCCTTCCACAGATGCTAAGCTGGAACAAGTCTGCAATCTCCCATTAAATTCTCCTAGATGACTAAGGCCTATTTCTTTGCTTAAAATTGAGACAGTTTGTAGACAGGGTGTGAGAACTAGTTCACATTTTAGGCAGCTACACATTATGACAGTCCACAGAAGCCATTTCTGCTTCTTTTTAGAGACCTCCCAGGGAAAGCCAGTCTGTTTCAGAATCAAAGCAAACTATTTTTGCCCCATATACCAGCACTAGAACAGGCAGATCCCACTATTTTCCTCTTCTATGATCACTTCACTAAAAATCATTTTTTATTTCAAGCTCATTAGGAAAGCTAAGCTCCTTTGTGAGAAAGTGTTTGATGCCCAGTGAGATGGACAAACATTACTTGGCCACTGCTGGCAAGTTTTGTGCAAGTTGGGAGCTATTAAATGTGTATTTTCAGAGTAGAACTTTATGGTTTTTCCAGTAATGAAAAGTTATTAACTATGAAAGTATTAAGGGAATGCAAACTAAGTCACATATACAATGCTTCCCTCGACCTGCTGGCCACGCTCCTTTTGATGCAGCCTAGCATCAAAAGAAGTTTGATGCTCTCAATGGCTGCTTTCTGCTGTCAATATACATTTCCCAATGGGAATCACCACCTCAGTGATAAAACACTTCTAAAAGTCAGGAAAGCTTAAAAGTGTAAATCTTACAGCATCAGCATCGCAGCACCATACAATGCTTTGCCAAACTGCCAACGGGAGCATTATAGTATTGTTTAGCAGCACAGTCCCCCCAGATGTGAACACTGAAACAGGAGAGAAGGCTCTGAAGAGGCCTCAGAGCAGATTTCAGTGCCTAAAGGTGCTACAAGAAACCTGGAGAGGGGCTTTGGGCAAGGGCCTGTAGGGACAGGCCAAGGGGAATGGCTTTAACCTGCCAGAGGGGAGACTGAGATGAGCTCTGAGGCAGAAGCTCTTCCCTGTGAGGGTGCTGAGGCGCTGGCACAGGGTGCCCAGAGAAGCTGCGGCTGCCCCATCCCTGGCAGTGTTCAAGGCCAGGTTGGACACAGGGGCTTGGAGCAAGCTGCTCCAGTGGAAGGTGTCCCTGCCTGTGGCAGGGGTTGGAACTGGATGAGCTTTAAGGTCCCTTTGACCCAAACCTCTCTGTGGCTCTATGAAACCACATTTGCTCACCCAGGGCAGAAGGCAAGTGGACATTCTTAGATAATGTCTACCAGAATTAGATTAACGATGAAACAAAGCTTTGTGGAGCACCAAGTCAACAGATGAACCTCACAACACTGTAAAAACCATCTCATTAGATAAGCCTTAATTCCTGTACTTTTACTGCTGACAAATACCATGACAATATTCTGTATTGACAAGAAGGAAAATGGTTAGTCCATATCTCACTGTTTATTCCTTTATAGGTCTGCTTCTATCTCAGAGGATCCCGAGGCATCACATTTCTTCAATACATCTTCCCTTAATTCCCAATAGAAACGATGGAAAGAAGATCTGTTAAGAAAGTAGTTCCTTACTTGTTTTTCTGACAGAAAATAAAGGCAAAACTTGTTACTTATAAAATATCCTATCTTTAAAGTTGCTGGTAGCACCAGATTACCTCTTTTCATGAGGGAAGCTGAACTCACTACATTAGAAACTCAAAAGTGTGGATATGAAATACAGTATATTGAGACTAAGACACTGAGAAAGGTACATTTCCTACTATTAGTTTTCAGGATTTAATAACACATAAAGACTAAATTAACATTTAGTGAACAAAGAAATACCCAACCTTTTATGAACTAGCGAACTGTTTTCAAAGAGCCTTCAAACTTCAGACAGAACAGGTAACAAGGACTGGTTTAAAGTTAGTGACATTTCTAAAGGTAATTAGCACAAGATGAAAGAAAGAAAGGAAGACCCCACCCCCCCGAGTTTTGCTTTCAGGCATTTACTCCATGTATAACATCCATTGTACACAGAGATCTGCTCACATTCCCCTGTGACAGCTGCTGGCTGGATCTTCCCATGCTTCCCAAAGAAATGATTCAGTTTCACCTTCACTCTTAAATTGCCTTGCTATCCAAGAGGATGCTTTGAGAGACAACCTCCTGATGAAGAGCAGTAGCCCAGAAGAACACGGTGAAGCCGCACTCCGTGCCACACGTCACTGTCACTCTATGGCAGAAGCACCACAAAGTTCCTGCATTAAGCTCTGCCTCAACTAACATCCTGATTCACAATAGGGGTGTGAATAACTGGTTAGAGCAACCCTGAGGTCAAGGGAAACGTGCTTATGAGCTTGGTCCATGCATTTAAAAACACAGAAAGAGAATTCAGAGATTAGATATTTCCAGGAACTTTAAGAATGAAAAAAGCTTTACTGTAATCCAGAAAACATGCCAAGAAGGTCCAGGATTACTGGGAAAAAGGAAAACAAAAGAGGAATTAAGGACTGAACCCTACCAGTTACAGCTTCTGAAGCAATTAAGAGCCTATTAGACAGTTCTCTAGACTAATAGGCTTTACAACAACTGTATGTGAACACAAGTTAACCATTTCCTGCTCCCTCACAGAAGCCTGAACATTAACCATTATGATGGGGGGACTTCAGATGAAGATCTGCCTGATGTCATCAAAACTGAGATCTCTTGACTACCTATACATATCCTCCAGATCCTACACCACAACTCCAGAGCCCCTGGAACTTGTTCTCTCCCCTTTCCTCCTGTTAGCAGTGAAATCTGCCCCTACTGTCTTTTCTTCTCCAGCCATCCTTGATGGAGATACATCAAAACAAATACTAACAATAACACCATTCACACCAGATAAATGTGCAGCAGCTCAACGTGCCCAGAGAAGCTGTGGCTGCTCCATCCCTGGCAGTGCTCAAGGCCAGGCTGGACACAGGGGCTTGGAGCAAGCTGCTGTAGTGGAAGATGTCCCTGCCCATGGCAGGCGGCTGGACCCGGATGAGCTTTAAAGTCCCGTCCAACAGAAACCATTCCACGATTCTATGACATCGTCTCACAAGGAAGCAGGAAGTCAGCTTCAATCTCTGCTTTTCTTTTAGCAAAATAAAGCAGCCTATAGTACTACAGTTAAAAGAAATTCTGAGATTGTAACACGGTCATATTCCCATGCGCATGGAGTTTCCAACAACTGCCCTAAGGTGCATGTGGCCAGATACACATCTTGATGGGCCTGTGCTGTTTATGTACACAGGTAACTTTTAGTGAACTCTTATACAGTTAGAGCCTAAGAAGAATGAGACAAGTGCAATGGTCCTAACTCCGGGCTGGGGAAATCCCAAGCACAGAAACAGGGTGGGCAGAGACTGGATCAAGAGCAGGAGAAGGAACTGGGGGTGCTGAGTGACAAATTTGCCCAACAATACTTTTCATGTAAGTGTTGGGATTTAACAGAAGAAAAACTAAACAGCTTTTGAGAATGAGATCAGAAACACTACTAAAAGAACATGACCACTTATCAGAATCAAGTCAGAAGTCAGAATCAGTTCTCTCTCGAACAGGAAAATGTGGCGACCTTGAAATTAAGGAAACTTAATTTTGAACACGGCTTCATCATTTTGCATAACCTGGTTTCTAATTCTAGAGTAATGATACAGCCTGAATTCATAAGGGACACTTCCATTCTCCATATACAATGTCACTCCTACTGCCTCTGAGAGAAATGAGAACTGAAGTTAGGAATACCATCACCTCACTTTCCTCAACTCATCTTCAGTGCTTTTAGTGGCTCCTGTGTTGCCCATAATAGCTGAAATCACTGGTTTGGTTTTAAATATTGATAGCAGCTGCCTCCACCTGCAACCATCTGAACTAAGTATTTAGAGTTGAAAGGAAATGTGGCACTGTTCTGCAGGAGACAAGCCTAGTTAAACTGCATGTAGTTAGCCTACTGATGCCTTGGAAGACATCATAGGGCACTTCCTACAGCTTGGAATCAACAAGCCCTGCTCTGCCAGACCCAACAGCCACAGAATCATTAGGGTTGAAGGGACCCCTGGAGATCATCCAGTCCAACCCCTGCCAAGGCAGGGCCACCCAGAGCAGGGCACACAGGAACGTGTTCATGGTGGGTTTCAGTGTCTCCAGAGAGGGAAACTCCACAGCCCCCCTGGACAGCCTGTGCCAGGGCTCTGCCCCCTCAATGGAAAGAAGTTCTTCCTCATGCTGAGGTGAAACTTGCTGTGGTTTAGTTTATGGCCACTGCTCCTTGTCCTGTTGCTGGGCACCACTGGAAAGAGTCTGGCACCATCCTCCTGGTTCCTCCTCTGAGCTGTTGATCTCCATTGATGGGGTCCCCTCTCAGTCTGCTCTTCTCTAACCAGGCCCAGCTCCAGCAATCTCTGCTCTAAACCCCTGAGCATCCTTGTGGCCTCTGCTGGACCATCTCCAGCAGCTCCTTGTCTTTCTTGTGCTGAGCAGCCCAGCAACGGACACAGGACCACCAGGGTCAAGCAGAGGGGGAGGAATCACCTCCCTTGACCTGCTGCACCACAGGATCCTCTTGGTCCCTCCTGGCTGCTTCTACCCCAAACCCCAGAAGACTGAAGCTCATCAGAAACCACCTGCATTCCAACATTCAGCTGTGCCATGGAGCACCCAAAAAGCCAACACTTAAAACACCAGCTACATGCAGCATGTTCTATGTGAGCCTCCACTCAATGTGGAGTTAATTCTGAAGATCCAGCAGTACAACAAAGTGAAAATGAAAAAGTAGGCAATATATAATGTGGCAGCACTTTACTACTTTGAGACAGAGGAAACTTGAATTCTTTCCTTAGCTTTCAAATGATCAAAAATACATATTAAAATACAGACCTAATTAAAGAGCTGCTCTAAGCCTGTTCTGCAAAGCTCAAGTCTGAAGAATATTCAGTGTTGGAACTGAAGTTCAAACCATTGGCAAGCCAGGGAGGTTTACACAGAACACAGGAGACTTTGCAGTAGGAAAAAACAAGCAATGATCAAACACAAATAGGTGAAAGCTGTTACACCTTCTTCTCTAAGTACACAACGAAGCAGCTTGAAAACTGGCAAACCAACATAGGAAGACAGGGTCCAATGCTCCATGTACCAATTCCAGGGGATCACAGATTAACCAAGAAACAGAGGACAACTGCAGTTGTATTTAAACAGCTATATAAATACTTCAAAGAAAGACTGGAGCACAGAGAAGAATTTCTCCTACCTTGGTATCTTTAGACGAGGGAAATCTCTAGTAAGAAGTGTCTTCCTCCATTCACTGGAAGTCCTGAAACACAAAACCAACAGAAATCAGCAGCATCTTCTCAGCCCTGCGCTGTCCCCGATGCTCTCTCGCTTTGCACACATCCCAGGAATAAACCCACAACTCTTCCACACTATTCCTGTATAAGCTGTCAGTCCCTGCTCTTGACCATCACAATCAAAACATTATTGCTCCTGCTTTTAGATCTCCGTTAATGAATGCTCATTTCAGTCACCTGGCTCTTCCTCCTCACCACTTTGCAAATGGGAGAGGAGAAAAAGAAGGTAACACTTGGATACACATCACGTAACACATTACTGAAGAAGTAATTTGTCACTTCCAAGTATTTCCCTTCAACCTAGCCAGCTCTCCTGCTAAAACCCTGCAACCTTCCCTCTAGGGTTTTCTTTTAAACTCAATCCTCAGATAAACACAACCCCCATAAGGGCTTCTACACTAACTCAAGGGTTCGGTACTCAGCCCTCTGCTCTCATCACGTACTTACAAGTTCATCAACAAAAAGCCAAGAGGAATGTATCTTGCTACTCACTGGGAAAGACCAGAGCACATACTTTCGCACCAGCATGTATGTTACTTGTGCTGAGAATACTGCATTACAGGCTCTACCAGCCTAGAAATCTCATTTGAGAAGCAGCAAGCAGAAGGAAGCACAGACACATCTCATCTGTCATCAAACAAACATCAAAAGTAACCTGAGGCTGCTTTAAATTCACCAGTTTAAAGCAAAGGAGAAGAACGTTCAACCACCTCAGCAGGGCTTTTTCATTCTGCTACAAGCAGACACTGAAAAGCACTTGACAGCTTCACTTATAATTCCCAGTGCTCTCCAGAACCTTAACAGAAACTTCCCAGATGGTCTTAGATGAATAATTTTGTATATAAAACTGTACAACATTCCATAAATTCATGAAGCGACCCCATCTCATTTCTCAGGGTTGCTAATGAACTCCCTCCTTTCCATTTTCCACTTGTCAGGAAGAACAACTGTGGAGCCGTAACCAGCATGTGATGCTCATCATCACCGCAGCTGCTTTGGCCATCAGGCCAGGAAGATGTGCCAATCTCACGTGCAGCTCCGATCCCACTGCACGGACTCCTGCCTCAGCCCGGAGGATGGGTGCAGCCCTGGGTACCTGAGCTCTGCCAGAGTCACCTTCAGCTCCCCCACAGCTCCCCCACTGCAGGATGGTGCCCCTTCTTCAGACTCCCTTGCTGGGTGATGCAAACTTCTGCTTCCTCTCTGAAGCGCACAACGCCTGAGCGCATTTTTATTACTTATTATTATTACGTATTTTTATGTGTTTTATTACTTAACAAAAGACATTACTATATTCCTTAGATCCTAAGGACGCAGAAAAAGGAAGGATCTTAAAACATTTATCTGGCATTCCCCACAATTGCTCTCCCAGAGAAGCTGTGGCTGCCCCACCCCTGGCAGTGTTCAAGGCCAGGTTGGACACAGGGGCTTGGAGCAAGCTGCTCTAGTGGAAGGTGTCCCTGCCCGTGGCAGGGGCTTGGAACTGGATGAGCTTTAAGGTCCCTTCCAACCCAAACCATTCCATAGCCAAAACCTGAACATGACACCCCGTGAGAGAGTAGGACATGGCTTATGTGGTTTAAGCTGCAGAGGAGTGCTGCCTAGCCCTAATTTGCTCAATAAACTTCCCATCTGCATTCAGGGAGCACATCTGATAAGTACGTTCTGCATTGAGCTTTTAAACAGCAGAGCTTTCATCTACTCCTATTATTACATTAGAAATCTGTATGTGAATGCAGAAGATATTAGCGGGTTGTCAATAAAAACTGAATGTCATTAAAGGGCTTTTCTTCCTTAAATGCCTTTCACCCTCTAATTATATTTGTGAATTCCACTATTTAACTGTATCAAAGTTATAAAATCTGACATGTTGTAGCACAACAAATATATTTAGACCCCAATATACAAACAGTTTGAGGGGAGGGGCAATCAGGTTTAGAACTATCCCCTCTTGATTCAATACATCCATCGCAACTATGGTGTGCTCCCATCAGACACAAGAGACATTCAGGACTTCTCCAGGTATTCCAAGAGTTTAGGATTTTAAAATCTCTGTCCTGTGGTATGGCTGCAAGTCACAATATATTTAATTTATTCTATTTTCTTATATCAGCACAGGTTTTCCAAGCCAGTTCTCTTGGAATTGGCAGAAAGGTGACAGTCCTACTTCTTTACTCTTACTTTGCTCAGCCTAGAGAAAAGGTGGCCCAAGGGACACCTTGTCACCATGATCTGGTATTTAAAGGGTGGTTACAAAGAAATGGAGATTCCCTTTGCGCAAGGAGTCACCCGGAAAAGACAACGGATGATGGGCGCAAGTTTCTCCTGGGGGAATTCGAACTGGACACAAGAGGCACATTTTTCCCAATGAGAACAACCAACCACTGGAACCATCTCCCCAGGGAAGTGGTGGATTCCCCAACACTGTTAAGATTCACTGAGACAGAGAGCTGGGCCATCTACTCTAGGTCATGCTTTGCCTGGGAAGGTTGGACCAGATGATCCTTGAGGTCCCTTCCAACCTGGGATTCTGTGATCTCCAAAACCAATACAAACAACTGACTGTTTCCTCCTCCCAGGCACAAGGTGCAGTATCGGTAACTCAGCACAAACCATCACTGAACAACTGTCTGGCACAGTCCCACCAGCTGCAGGAAGTGGTTCAGCCTTCATATTCTGCCCTGGCCTTTGGCCATCAGTGAAGAAGTCACTTAATGTCAATTGGGATTTCTGCCCATAAAAGCTAGCTAGAAATAGCCAGCAATGACTTTCAGCTGCCATCCAAGTCCGCACTTTAAAACATGGAATACTCCAATATTCCCAAGTTCCACAATGTCTATATACATATATACACACATATATGTATGGATGCACGTAAAAGGAATGGGTGTCAGCAGAATCATGTAATTTACATCAGTAACAACACAAACAAGGAACACCGAGACCTCGCAAAGCCCTTTTGTGACACAAACCAGATAAAAATGCACCCATAGCACTCACTGACATTGAACCCAAGTGTTCATTTCTTTTCCTTTGAACAGTCGCCAGCCCACAGCAATATCAATTCAACTACACATCTCCTATACTGTGTTTACTGTTCCAGCGCATCCATCACTTCATTCAACTTCATCCAGTACCACAGAAATCAACGACTTGAAGTAGTTTTTGATAAGCCTCTGTATTTGGGACCTTTTCACTGATCCAGACAATTTCTGAATGAAGATGTTGTGGCCAAAAGCTGCTTCAACCCGGGTGAATGAAAGGACATGATGTAATTTCCAAAACAAGAAAACAAAGGAATGCTATTAAAAAGTACAAGTGAGTAATAATGTCACAAAGCCAAGTAAAGAGAGTGAGGAAGTCCAAGAATTAAGGGTTAGCATGCTCAGCAAAGAAGCTCAGGCACAAAGCACCCATGTGCAGACCGGCAGTCCCAAATCATTTCTTGGTTATACCTGTGCAGGTAACAGCTATACTGAGTTCTTCCACAAATGAACACATCAGAAAACACCAACGTATAAACCAGCTGCCCAAAAGAAGGGCTCCTACTTAATGTAGGAATTACTGGAACAGGCAGGAGGAATAGCTCATAGAAACCCACAATACTGTCAACGCTTTGGTGAGAGAATTAAGCACCCTCCTGTTGTTCTAACCTAGAAGAGCAGGACCCACAAAAGGAACAAGTACTCTCAGGTATAGCAAAGCAGGTTCCAGCTGCACTGGTTTCCTCTCAAGCTAAAACCCATGACAGAAAGAAGACTTAAAGCTTTCAGATGTAAGAAACAAAACAGAAAACCTGCCTTCCATAGCGACTCCAGCTGTAAAGAGGTATAGGACGGAATGACACCAGGATGTCTGATTTCACAGGAACAAGTCTGAGGAGTCTCCTGAGATGAGGACCACCCATTCAGTATTTGGAAAGACATTTAACAGCAGCATGGAGCAAACTTCCAATTAACAGGATGAAATAGAAGACTCATTTGCCATTCATCTTAGAGCAAACAAAGCCATCTTTTTCCCTTCCTAATCTAAGCAAGCAGATGTTGCATTTCAGGAGGTAAAAGTCCACAGCAATCTTACACAGCTAAATGAATGCAAAGCTTTTCCCCTAAACATAGTATAGGTCATGTATCCCCTGATCCCAACAGTTTCATTGTATTTTCCTAGAGAAATTAACTACTTACTCAGACTTTTATCAACAGAACATTAACACAGAGACATTAAACACAATGACCATCTGCCTTTGAAAACCATATACTCCACCAATGATCCGAACATGCTGCTCAACCAGTCCTACTGGAAAGGAAAAGCTCTGCAATGGTCTCATGAATAGGGATTTCCATCTTTAACTGAGGTTATTTTTCTCGTTTTGGCTGTCAGTCGCACCAGCTGGTATTCATCTGATAAACTGAGGGAGCTTGGACGCTATTCTAAAACCAAATCGAATCACAGTTGAAATTCTTTGCACATATATCCACGTTGGAAACAAAATATATACTGTTGAGAAGCCTTGGTTCCCATTCTAACTCAGAAATTCATCTGTAAGCACAACGTGTGTTTCAGTGATGCCTCACACATAACAAATCAACAAGCAGGAAAACAGCAATAGCCTTGAAATTCCAGTAATGTAAATGCGACTGACCTGACTGTATTAGGGACTAAGCTGAAAAACAAGGCTCATGTTTCCATCCTGCTCAGGAGTTTGTCTTCTCAACTTTTTAATCTCTAATTAAAAGTGAGATTTGAATCATATGTTACCAGCCATAATTGCTGTCCCCCAGAGTTCATTACACAGGCACGTATACATTGAAAAATCAAACTCCAAGCATACAACGTAACACTTCAGTCCATAATTAGACAGGTCTTGGCTGATTTTCAGCATTATTAAGCAAGCATCCACTCCACCATATTCTAAGTTGGCAACAGTTTCTTCATGAGCATCACTCTAAATAACTATGGGAAAGCA